TGTGTGTGTGTGTGTGTGTGTGTGTGTGTGTGTGTGTGTGTGTGAAGGTATCGGTAATGGAAGACTGCATGTGTGGGGTCGGGCACCGCTCTGTGTGTGTGTGTGTGTGTGTGTGTGTGTGTGTGTATGTGTGTGTATGTGTGAAGGTATCGGTAATGGAAGGCTGCATGTGTGGGGTCGGGCACACAGGAAATCTCTGTACTCTACCCCATTTGGCTGCGAATGCTGAAATTGTTCTAAAACATAAAGTCTATTAAAAAAAAAAAACCCAGAGATGAGAAGGTCTCAGCACCTACTTTGCAAATTTGATGCAGAACTGAGTGAAGTACTTCCGTGTGGAAGCCAGGTTGTCACGGATGATGGGCACGTTCTGCTTGATGTGAAGGATGACTGAGGTGACGTAGGGGCTCTGGTCACCGACATGCTCCACATTCTGCCACTGCATCTGAAATGGACACAGGACAACGTGTTGGATCTTCACAAGACAGTGTCACCTGTTACTGGGGAAGGGAAGGGCTGCAGTGGAAATCAGGTCACAGCTCCGTATCACAGCAATCAGACTCTTTCGAAAGTCTTGAGAATTTGTCTTATCATTCTGTAGGAACTGATACTCAGGACAAAGATGAGCATGCCCAGCTGACCCTGACAGTGAAGTGAACCTAGGACAGAAACAAGCATGCCCAGCTGACCCTGAGAGTGAAGTACACCCAGGCCCTCTCATTTTCCTGCCTTGTCCCCAGCACGCCTGATACAGCCCTCCTCCCCAGCAAAGCTGCCCTCCTGTGACGGATCCTGCTGCCCTGCCAAGTGCCCACCGCAGGGACTGCGGCGGAGCGGGGAGGGACCTCAACTTCTGAGCTGACCAGCAGCCTGGGAGAGCAGAGTGGTGGCTGGAGGCCGATGAGAAGCCTGGAGAGGAATTAAGACACCCTTCTCTTCAGTAAACTGGGAGGAGTCCGGGATTCTTTAAAACAGAAAACTGGAAATGATATAGTATGTGGGGATGTTGCTTCAGAATCATATGACATTACTGGGAAGAGGTGTACATGAAATAAGATCATGAAGCTGAGCGACAGGTACATGAGGCCGACCATACTGTTTCCTCTACTTTTGAATATATTTAAATATTTTCATAATAAAACATTTAAAGGGGTATGCATGTAGAATCTTAAAATCTTAAAAACCTTTGGGATTGTGTCAGGATTTTAATAAAGGGAAGGCAAAGAGAATCTCTGGTAGGGTAGAGAGAGGGTAAAATGGAGACGTGGGCAACAGGACCTGAGCCGGGTGCAGGGAGAGAACGTTGCTGAGGGCACCGATGTGGTCCCTGGCCAGGCAGTGAACAAAAGTGACAGAACTGCTTCAACCCAAGCACTAATCACATACTCTGAAGACACCTAAAGTGGCTGGATTCCTGGACCACGTGGCTCTAACCACAGGCTCTGCAGACACCTCAGTAAAGAGGCTGGACTCCTGGACTACGTGGAACTAACCACACACTCTGAAGTCACCTCAGTAAAGTGGCTGGATTCCTGGACCACGTGGCTCTAACCACAGACTGTGCAGACACCTCAGTAAAGGGGCTGGATTCCTGGGCTATGCAGCGCTAACCACACACTCTGAAGACACCTCAGTAAAGTAGCTGGATTCCTGGACTTCATGACACTAACCACACGCTCTGAAGATGCCTCAGTAAAGCAGCTGGATTTCTGGACTACGTGGCTCTAACCATACACTCTGGAAGATACCTCAGTAAAGTGGCTAAATTCCTGGCCTACCGTGGCTCTAACCACACAGTCTGCAAGACACCTCAGTAAAGCAGCTGGATTCCTGGACTACGTGGCTCTAACCACACATTCTGGAAGACACCTCAGTAAAGTGGCTGGATTCCTGGACTACGTGGCTCTAACCACATGCTCTGGAGACACCTCAGTAAAGTGGCTGGATTCCTGGACTACGTGGGTCTAACCACATACTCTGGAGACACCTCAGTAAAGTGGCTGGATTCCTGGACTACGTGGGTCTAACCACATGCTCTGGAGACACCTCAGTAAAGTGGCTGGATTTCTGGACTATGTGGCTCTAACCACGTGCTCTGGAAACACCTCAGTAAAGTGGCTGGATTCCTGGACTACGTAGCTCTAACCACGTGCTCTGGAGACACCTCAGTAAAGTGGCTGGATTCCTGGACTACATGGCTCTAACCACACACTCTGGAAGACACCTCAGTAAAGTGGCTGGATTCCTGGACTACGTGGCACTTGGCAGCACTGACTTGTGGGAACTTAGGCAGCAATGCTGCAGTGTGGCATCCCCCAAGGGCATGGCAGGAGGCAGGCACAGTACCAGCTCCCAGCCTGTCCCGGGGCTGCAGGGAAGGGTACTCTAATCTCTAACCCCGAAGAGTGGGCACATGCTGGAGGGGTTCTGCTGTGTCAGCCTCCCACAGCAGAGCTGGATGGTCTGTTAAAAAGATCCTAAGCCAAACACAAGCCATATAATATGTTCATAGAAGGAGGTCAGTGGTTCTGAGGTCTTGCTATCTCTGGCAAGAAACCACTATTTTCATAGAGCTCTTGGGGAAAGGAAAAATTCAATACTAAGAGAACTTGTTTAAAAGAATCACACTGTATGGGGATAATTCCCTAGCCGTGAGAAGCTCAAATGACTCCTAATGTTTCTTCAAATCAGCAGATAATGTATGCTAAACGCTTGAGGGATGTGCACACACAGAACCACGGAAAAGCAGGAAGGGACCTGCATCTTCACTTCAGAGATAAGAAAACCAAGGCCCAGCGACATGAAGACTCCCATGCAACGTTTCCTAACCAGGCTCCACACAGGAAAAAGAACTCTAATTTATTACCGGGAAAAAACAAACCAGGAAGAAACAGTAGGGAGGTCTACTATGTACTGACTTAATAGTCTAATGCTCTGGTTATGTGAAATGTTTTCCTCATTACCTTTTATCTTACTTAAGAGGCTTCTTTCTCCATTTGATTTGGAAGATGTGACTCATCCAATGAGCATCCTAGGTGATTTTCAATGAGCTCATCGGGTGAGGCCAAACTGGACAGGTTCCGTTAAGTCATCAGCTATTCCTCAGCTCTGCAGCAAGATTTGGAGCAGAATGTTCTGGGTAGACACTGCAAACCAGGCAGGGCTTGATGCCCCCAGCGCCAATCGACATGAAGCTCTTCCATGGTGATGACTATTACTTTCCAAGCTGGCAGCTTTGTATATTTCATAATCTCAAAACAGCTTATAAGCAATTATCTCAACATGACAGCTCTCCATGAAAAAGGGAGGCCACAGAAAGAGGCGGTGACATGCCCTGTCACCAGTTACAAAGTAGCTCAAAGCAAGACTGAGCAAAGGGCCTGGGATTTCCTCACATTCCCACTGGTTATTCCACACGTGTCACCTAAGCCCTCCTGAGAATCACTGGTTATTACACGCGTGTCACCTAACCCCTCCTGAGAATCACTGGTTATTACACACGCACGTCACCTAACCTCTCCTGAGAATCACTGGCTATTACACACGCGCGTCACCTAACCCCTCCTGAGAATCACTGGTTATTCTGCACGTGTCACCTAACCCCTCCTGAGAATCACTGGTTATTACACACGCGTCAC